ACTCCCTGTCTGGGCTTTGCTGCTGGGGACAGGGGCCAACCATGCTGGAGGTGGAGGGGGGCCCTGGCTTGCTCTGCCCCTGTCCCTGGCAGCAGGGCACAGTCCTCTTGACTGCCCCGCAACCCCCCCGTTCCTTGCCTCCTCTGCCCCCCCCCCCCCCCCCCAGAACTCCCCCTGACTGCGCCACCCTGGAGCACCAGGTCTGGCAGCGCTATAGCTGTGTTGCCCAGCCGGAGTTGCAGCCACGCTGCCCGGGTGTTGGGGGAACTGTGACTGAGAGGGAGGGAGGCAGAGAGGAAGGGGAGCAGAAGGAGAGGGGCCAGGGGCTAGCCTCTGCCCCACTCACCACGCTGCCGGGGAGTTGGGCTGGCTCCTCTGCAAGCCTGTCCTGACCCCGCTCTCTGGCAGGAGCATCTCCTCAGTGATCTACGGATGGGGTTTGAAGGGCTGAGGCCCCAGTACCGAGCTGACAGCAGTCAGCACTGATGAAATAACACCATTGCTGATTGCCACAAGCAGTTCCAAACAGAAAAGGTCTGATAGCTTGGTGATAATCAGAGTCTGATAATTGAACTAATTTCAGCCAATTAACTGTCTTAGAAATCAGAGGTGCAGATTTTTCAGCAGAAGCTGATGGTCAGTGTCAAGTTCAGCACTTCTTCAAACTCGTACATGCATGTCCACTGGCCCCCAATGACTGTTAATTAGGACTGTTCCTGACCATGTCCTTGTGAAATGTTCTGGGCTGTACCAGATCTCGTTGTGAAATCCTGGGTGACAGAAAAGTGAATCAGTGACCTCCATCTCATTGGCAGCCACAAATTCCAGCAGTTGCTCCCCATTCCTGTTTTTTGGCTTGATACCAAACTTCCCAATTGTGATTGCCCATGTAGTATTGTCCTTTCCTATCTAAGCATTAAAGTCACCCATGATTATGATGACATCTCTGTGATGGTGCCTCCACCAGGCTTTATGGAAATATGCTTATTAATATATATCTGATATAAATGGAATATGTTTATTGCTACATATGCCATATAACATATCTATGTAAAGGTTATGATCTACTGAATCTATTAATCCTATTTGTATGCATGTATCATTTTTGTATTCAAAGTTATGAATATTGGCTGTGTACTGGCTTGATTTCTGAATAACCTTAGTAGAGCAGTTGGTCAGTTCCTTGAGAAAGGAATGTGCAAATTAGGCACCCAATCAAGAAACACTTGAAGGACAATGAATCTTGTAAGGCTGCAATCCACATAAGAAGCCTACCTGAGGACATTCAAGGAAGCATGTGAACCATGGCTGCCACCTCTAAGTTCTGAGTCATGCGTGGACTTGTGCCTTGCCCATGTGACTCCAAAACTTCATCTTGGAGCTGGACTTTGCATAGGAGGGGGGGGGGGTCTCTACCCACAAGATAAAGTCTATTTAAGCCCCTGGGAGACCCCTCCATTTTGTGTTCAGCTGGCTAAACAGCAGTGTGCACACATGGCTACGGGTTGGTGATAATTTTATGGTACAGCGCCCCCTACTGTGTGAAGTTCTATCTGCATGTATCATTACACTCTAGGAGCGCTGCAAGGGAGAGGGGGCAGACACGTGAATAGCGTTTGGGGGTGGATCCAGGTGTGGGACCATCAAAGGGCAGTAAGAAGGACAGGGTGGACATGAGCTTCTGGTGTGGAAAAAAATAGCAAATTTCAGCAGCAATGACTGAGGCTACTTACATGGCCTTCACCACCATAGCATGTGAGTACTTCAGAAATGCCTTCATGTCACTCCTGTGAGGCAAGGAGGTATCATCCTCCCTTTTACAGGCAGGGAACTAAGGCACAGAGAGAGTGTGGCTTGCCCAAGGTCACACACAGTCTGTGGCAGAGCTAGGAATTGAATCTAGGCCTCCTGAGTACTAATTGAGTGCCTTAACCACAAGGCCACCCGCTTGCCATGATCCCACCCCACAGCCCCTCCTCTTCTCACACAACACAGCTCCATCCTTCAAGGTGTGGAGACCCTACCAGCTCCTGAGAATCAACCTGACCCCTCCCGAGCAAGTGCCTTAGGGCCCTGCCCCAGGCACTCCAGTGGGCATCAGCCCCTCTCACTTTCTCAAGTGTGCAGAAATCTGCAAATGGTGCTTTCCTACACATCTTATTTTGGCCCAGAGCCCTGTAAACTCAAGGGCTGGCCCTGCTCCATCTAAAATATCTACCCATTAAAAATGGTAGTAAATCTCTGACCTTCATGTAGTTAATCCTACACTTCACTGCACTGGCTAGTGGTGACAGAGGTTCCCATTCTCCCAGGCTGGCTGCTTTTAAACCTTCAGCTCAGGTGGACACAGATTGCAGAAATGCAAACCAGCTCCTCTCTGACACAAGAGCATACACTGATTATTTTTATTGTTATCATAGAGCCTAGGCCTGGCCCAGGACCCCACTGTGCTGGGTGCTGTACATACACAGAGCAAAAGGACAGTTCTTGCCCCAAGGAGCTTACAATCTAAGACAAGACACAACAGCTGGATACAGACAGGGGAGTACAAGGACACAATGAGACTATTCAGCAGCAGGACAGGTTGGCATGGCAGGCCAATTGAAGCTAAGCACAGGCAGTGAGAGATGAGAGGCAGGGTGGGAATTGACTGGGACGGGCCTTGCAAGTGAAGACAAGTAGCGTATGTTTGATGTGCTAGAGAGGGGGGAGCCAGTGGAGGGATGCAGAGAGAGGGTGATGTGGGCAAAGTGACGGGCTAGGCTGCTGCATTCTGAATGCCATGTCCAGGCACTATACAGAGGACCCTGCCGTGGCTGTTGTGCTATAGCGCCACCTAGTGGGGGTCATTACTGTGCTTTTTCAAATGTAAAAAACCCTAAAAATTCAACTTCTCCCTTTGTAAAGTGTAGCGAGATCTGTGTGTTGCCAGCTGTTTATTCACTGTCATGAAGTGTCACACTGAAAACACTGAACTGGCCAAGGAATGTCAGTGTAACAAACAAAAAATGCCAAGATGTAATTTCTGGATAAATGAGCGAGACCTCTCCCGTCAGGTCTAGATACCTGGACTCTCAGTGGGGACTGGAGGAACCCAAAGTTCCTTACTGGTAAAGTCCTCACATGCCTGCTGTCAGCAGCCTAGCCTGAGGTCTTTGTGTAGCTTCTCTTTCCTGCCAGGTGAGCTTATTGCTCTGAGTGCCAGCTAGACCTGAAGAGAGCCCAGGTAGCCATTAGCACCAAAGCCCACTGTACTGAGTGGGAAGATTTATTTTTGACTTCCATGGACTCTAGCTCAGATCCTTAGGATCGGCATAAAGTGTGATGCAGTCAGTGATGTACTGAAACCAGGGCCATGTTAACAAAGGGGGGATGCTGAATGAGACCGAAGCATTGCAATGCCGTTGGAGTGCCTCTCCACTTGGCCCTGTTCCCAGCAAGCCCACTTTTGCAGTTCACCCAGCATCATGGCTTTCCAAGAACAGGCTTTACCCTCTGCTTCTGGAACCAAGAAGGGACAAGATCAGTCAGAAAAGTGTTACAAGTGATGGAGGTCTCTGCAAGGTGCACCAGGGAGACCCTCTGCAGGAGGGGAAGGGAGTGTGGGTAGAGCACCAGAAGTTGAGCTGTAAGAGCTCCTGGGGAGAGACTCCAGGTGCAGCATGGTGCAGACTCTTGGGGAAGGAAGAGTCATGTTGAGGTCCAGAGTTTCAAGAAGATGAGCATAGAGCAGTGTAGAGGCCAGCAATTCTAAATGTAACTTGTGTAACCCTTCTCCCAGTCAGAGTTGGCAGCAACAAGGGCCGGGTTCACTATCTAGGGGTTCTTTTTCAACAATACAACACAAAACCGGCTTGAGCACCCCCACCCAGGGACCTGGGACAATTACACACCAGCCCCTAGGTGCCTCTAAAGAGGCAATACTTCCCCTCTCGCAAGCACAGAGTCTGAGCATAGCAAAAAACTTTTAATAAAAGGAAGGAAGTAACTTGGCATTAATTTGGGAAAACACCGCAAACAGGGTTCATAAACATAAACCATGAGCAAAAGACCAACTCCCAAGTAAGTTGGGCAGTGCCCTTTTCCCCTCAGGTTCTTAAGTCCAGCAACCCAAAAGTCCCTTTAATGTGCCCATCCCTGCAACCCACTCACAGTTGCTGTCCTTGGTCAGTGCAGCCCCAGAGTTCAGAGGTGCACCTACAGAGGTCACCTCCCACCCTGGGTGGAGGGGGTGGTAAGGAGGCACCTTACTCAGTCCGCTGTTCAGGCACTCACTCACTGCCCCTCTCTGCTAGCCTCCCTGCAGGGCTCTGCTCTGGCCGTCTCCACCAGCCATCCTACTGGCTGCTCCCCACATCTTTCCGCCAGCTACCTTGCTGGCTGCGCCTCTCCACCAGCTTGCGAAGATGTCTTCAGGTTCCACCACTTAACACAGCTCTCAATGATTTCACCTGTTAGTGCAAAAGCTTTGCTGCTAGTGCAGACTGGGCAGTCTCTTGCATCAGAGACCTGGTTCTAAAGTAAATCTAATACTTAGACCTAGGTATCAGTGACTTCAGCTCTGCAGCATTTAACAAGACTCTCAATAGAGTCTAAGGGTATGTCTACACTATGAAATTTAGGTCGAATTTATAGAAGTTAAATTTTTAGAAAGCGATTTTATACCCCTGATTGTGTGTGTCCCCACTTAAAACCATTAAGCCCATTAAGTCGGCGGAGCGCGTCCACAGTACCGAGGCTAGGGTTGACTTCTGGAGCATTGTACGGTGGGTAGCTATCCCGCAGTCTCCGCCGCCCATTGGAATTCTGGGTTGAGATCCCAATGCCTGATGGGGCAGAAAACATTGTTGTGGGTGGTTCTGGGTATATGTCATCAGGCCCCATTCCCTCCCTCCCTCCGTGAAAGCAACGGCAGACGATCGTTTCGCGCCTTTTTTCCTGGGTTACCCGTGCAGACACCATACCACGGCGAGCATGGAGCCCGCTCAGCTCACCGTCACCGTATGTCTCCTGGTTGCTGGCAGACGTGAGACTGCGTTGCTACACAGCAGCAGGTCATTGCTCTGTGGCAGCAGATGGTGCAGTATGACTGGTATCTGTCCTCATCGTCTCCTGGGTGCTCTAACCGGCCTTGGTCAGGTCGGTTGGGGTGCCTGGTCGGACATGGGTGCTCCTGGCAGACCTCGGTAAAGTCTGTCAGGGGCGCCTGCACATAAATGGGAGTGACTCAGGTCATTCTCTTCTTTAAGCTTTGTCTAATGGAGATTCAGTCCTGCCTGGAATATTGGCAGAGGAATAGCTTTCCCAGCCAGCAGCACCATCTGCTACCAGCCTCCCTGCCCTCCCTCTGTGATAGCAATGGGCAACAATCATTTCATGCCTTTTTCCATGGGGGTGCCATATTGCTGTCAGCATCATCATCCACCCGCCGCTTCCACTGCCACTCTGCTCTCCTGCTCACGCCATACCACGGCAAGCATGGAGCTCTCTCAGATCACTGCGGCAGTTGTGACTGTTCTAGACATCACGCGCATTATCATGCAGTACATGCAGAGCCAGAACCTGCAAAAGCAGGCGAGGAGGCGATGGCAGTGCGGTGAGGAGAGTGATGAGGACATGGACACAGACTTCTCTCAAAGTATGGGCCCCGGCAATCTGGACATCCTGGTGGCAATGGGGCAGGCTCATGCCGTGGAACGCCGATTCTGGGCCCAGGAAACAAGCACAGACTGGTGGGACCACATAGTGTTGCAGGTCTGGGACAATTCCCATTGGCTGCGAAACTTTCATATGCGTAAGGGCACTTTCATGGAACTTTGTGACTTGCTTTCACCTGCCTTGAAGCACAAGAATACCAAGATGAGAGCAGCCCTCACAGTTCACAAGCGAGTGGCGATAGCCCTGTGGAAGCTTGCAACGCCAGACAGCTACCGGTCAGTTGGGAATCAATTTGGAGGGGGCAAATCTACTGTGGGGGCTGCTGTGATCCAAGTAGCCGACACAGTCACTAAGCTGCTGCTATCAAGGGTAGTGACTCTGGGAAATGTGCAGGTCATAGTGGATGGCTTTGCTGCAATGGGATTCCCTAACTGTGGTGGGGCGATAGACGGAACCCATATCCCTACCTTGGGACCGGACCACCAAGGCCGCCAGTACATAAACCGAAAGGGGTACTTTTCAATCATGCTGTAAGCACTGGTGGATCACAAGGGACGTTTCACCAACATCAACGTGGGATGGCCGGGAAAGGTACATGAAGCTCGCATCTTTAGGAACTCTGGTCTGCAGGAACAGCTGCAGCAATCGACTTTCTTCCCAGACCAGAAAATAACCGTTGGGAATGTTGAAATGCCTATAGTTATCCTTGGGTACCCAGCCTACCCCTTAATGCCAGGGCAGTTAGAAGAGCACAGCAGGGCACGCTGCACATCAGAGAAGCTTTGAAAACCAGTTTCATGACTGGCCAGTGTGAAAGTTCTGTTTGTTTCTTGATGAAAACCCCCCACTTGGTTCACTCTACTTCCCTGTAAGCCAACCGCCCTCCCGTCCCGCCTTTGATCACCTCTTGCAGAGGCAATAAAGTCATTGTTATTTCAAATTCATGCATTCTTTATTAATTCATCACACAAAAATGGGGGGATAACTGCCAAGGTAGCCCAGGAAGGGAGGGGGAAGAGGGAAGCACTGGGTGGGATGGGGAAGGAGGGGAGGAAAGAAGGACAAGAACCAAAGAAGCACACTACACTTCAAAACTTATTGAATGCCAGCTTTCTGTTGCTTGGGCAGTCCTCTGGGATGGAGTGGTTGAGTGCCCGGAGGCCCCCCCACCACATTCTTGGGCGTCTGGGTGAGGAGGCTATGGAACTTGGTGAAGAGGGCGGTTGGTTACACAGGGGTTGTAGCGGCGGTCTGTGCTCCTGCTGCCTTTCCTGCACCTCAACCATAAGCCGGAGCATATCAGTTTGATCCTCCAGTAGGCTCAGCATTGCATCCTGCCTCCTTCTAATCACGCTGACGTCCCCTCTCCTCTCGTCTCGCTCCTCCCTCCTGTCCTCGTGTCATTTTGTGCTTTCCTGGACTCTGACATTGTCTCCCTCCACACATTGTGCAGGGTAGGAGGCCTGCATGAGCTCAGAGAACTTTCATCGCAAGTGCATTTTTTTCGGCTTCTAATCTTTGATAGCCCCTGGGACGGAGATGATAGGGGGAGCATTGAAACATTTGCAGCTGCGGGATGGAAAAAAGGGAGATTAGTCTTTAAAAAGAGACATTTTAGAAAACAATGGGTAGACTCTTTCATGGTGAACCAAGCTGTTAACATTACATAGCACATGTGGTTTCTTTAAAAATTCACATTTTGCCTCTTATATCGAGGTATGGTGTGAGAGATCACACATGCAGGGCCGGCGGGCAACAGAATTCGGCTTACAGGCAGACATGGTAAGCCACAGTCTTTTGTCTTCTTTAACCTATGTGATAGACCCAGGCCAGTTGGGTACAGCAGAGTAGCCATATTGGGATCCAGGAAGTGGAACACTGCTAAAGGATCCCTCCCCAGCCTAAGGGGGGTGGGTCCACAGGACATGGAAAACCAAATAATTACGGGAGACAACTAATGAATAACAGGGACAGGAGTGTGGTCAAAGGGTCAAACGAAGGGAACCGGACAGGGGACACTGAGCAGAGAAACCCGGACAGCGCCCACTGCTCCTCAACGGCGTCAAGGGAGTCAGTGGATGCTGCCCAGAGGAACTCTGCCCAGAGACGTGAATGGACGGAGGATCGGAAATAGGCCCCACAGTCACTGGAGACTCCATCGGCCAACCTCCTCACCCTGGTTTTATAGATGGCCACTTTAGCCAGGGCCAGGAGGAGGTTGACCAGGAGGTCCTGCAACTTAGTGGGGCCACGGACAGTGAGTGCATAGATAAGGAGGTGAGGGGAAAAGTGCAACCAAAACCTTAACAAAATATTCGTGAGGAGCCAGAATAGGGGCTGCAACCTGGCGCACTCCAGGTAGACGTGCGCCAGGGTTTCCCTCACGCCGCAAAAGGGGCAGGTGTCCGGGATTGGGGTGAACTGTGCCAAGTACACGCCTGTGCTCACGGCCCCGTGAAGGAGCCGCCAACTGATATGCCCGGTGGGCCTCGGGACTAAGGTGGAATATAGGCTGGCCCACCGGGATTCCGCACCCTCTAGAGGTGGCAGAAGGTCCTGCCACTTTGTGTCAGGGCGGGGTGTGAGAGTGAGGACATGAAGGGTGTGGAGCACGAGTGTGTAGAGATGTTTCCTTGGCGCGGTCTGGAACCGGACCGGCTGCAGCTCGTGTAGCCGGCTCACGGTGAAGGGGCGGGGGGGTCAGTTGGGTCCACGGGGCAGGGGACCGATGAAAAGGTCCGGAGGGCCTGGGGTGGAGGGTGGGCGGGGCATGCCCTCTCTTAGGACCCGGTCGAGGTAAACCCAAGCAGCGGGTGGCGAAGCGGCCCTCACCTCCTGAAGTACACGCAGGGGAGTACGAGGTCTGGAGAGCCCCATGCGCTGAGCGAGTGTCAGGGGATCCAGCCAGTCTACCCCGTCGTAGTCCAGGAGGTCTCTGACTCTGGTAACTTCTGCCAGGACCAACCTGTGGCGCACCGAGGGGGACTCTGCCACCTGCACACGAAGCTGGGGGTTGTGTAGCAGGAGCTCCGCAAGGAGATCTTCTCCCATGGAGGCCGCCACAGACCTGGTGGCTGTGAACAGTTTCCAGGTCTGGAGGAGGTCCTGGTAGAAGACCGGCAGCCCGGAGAGGTCTCGCAGAAGACCTCTCAGATGGAGGTAAAGGAGCTGCCGGTCATATCGGAGCCCTCGGAAGCGGTGCAGGAAGGCGTGCGCCAGTATGCTCCACGCTGGACTACCTGCTCCATAAAGGAGCCTCTGCAGGTCCTGGAGGCGGAAGACATGGACCTGAGTGCAGAGACACTTCAGGCCCTACCCTCCCTCCTCCAGGGGTAGACGGAGAACCCCTGCAGAGACCCAGTGCAGTCCTGACCAGAAGAAGTCCAGAATCAACGTCCGGAGGTTGGCCAGGAAATCTGGGGCCAGGACCAGGGTGTTGAGCCGATACCAGAGCATGGACAGGACTAGTTGATTAAGCACCAGTGCCCTCCCTCGAAGGGAGAGACACTGGAGTAGTCCTGTCCATCTCCGGAGCCACTCTACCACCCTGCCCTCTAAACCATGCCATTTCTCCGGGGGAGACGGATCCTTGGCAGAAAGGTAAACGCCGAGATGGAGCAGCGGACCCGCGCTCCACCGGATGGCTTGAAGCGTGGGTGGGAGGGAGCTCGCCTGCCGCCAGTCCCCTACCACCAAGCCAGAGCTCTTGACCCAGTTGACCCGGGCGGAGGAGGCTGCCAAGTAAACGGCCTGGGAAGCCTCCACCCGCGCCAAGTCGCCCGGGTCCTGGACCACGAGGAGCACATCATCGGCGTATGCCGACAGGACCAGCCACAGCTCCGGCTCCCGTAGCGCCAACCCTGTCAACCTCCTGCTTAGGAGACAGAGAAAGGGCTCGATCACCAGAGCGTATAGCTGGCCCAAGAGGGGACACCCCTGCTGTACTCCTCAACCGAAACTGACCGGTTCAGTCAGGGTCCAGTTGAGCCTGACCAGACACTCTGCGGAGGCGTACAGCACCTGGACAAAATCCACAAACTGGGGTCCAAAGCCAAACGCTCGCAGAGTGTTCAGGAGATACCCGTGATCCACCCTGTCGAACGCCTTCTCCTGATCCAGGGACAGGAAGGCGAATGACAGACCGTCCCTACACCTGAGTTCCAAGAGGTCCCGGACCAGATATAGGTTGTTGAATATGGTGCGGCCCGGGACGGTGTAGGTCTGGTCTGGGTGGATCACGTCCGCCAGCACAGACCCTAGCCGCAGCGAGATGGCTTTCGCTACGACCTTGTAGTCCGTGCTGAGGAGCAAGTTGGGACGCCAATTTCGTAAATCGTGGAGGTCCCCCTTCTTTGGCAATAAGGCGAGCATGGCTCACCTGCACAAAAGAGGGAGGACCCCGCCCTGCAAAGACTCGACCCAGACGGTGACTAGTTCTGGGCTGAGGACGTCCCAGAACACATGGTAGAACTCCATGGTCAGCCCATCCATGCCCGGAGATTTATTGGTGGGCATGTGGTGGAGGGCTTCCAAGACCTCGGCCAGAGTGAGAGGCAGCTCTAGCCGGTCTTGTTCGCTCGCGCTGATCGTCGGGAGTTCGTCCCAGAGCACTCTGCAAGCGTTAGGATCGGTCAGATCCGGGGAGAAAAGGCCTGCGTAGAAGGCCCTGGCCCTCCCGCACATCTCCACCGGATCCATGAGGAGGGTGCCATCCTCTGCGAGGAGGCAGGTGATGTGCTTCTTGGCCCCCCTCTTTATCTCCAGGGCATAGAAGAAGCGGGAGCCGCAATCCATCTCCCGAAGGAGGCAGACGCGGGATCGAACAAAAGCACCCTGGGCCCGATGGTCCTCGAGGGCCCAGAGCTCCTCCCGTTTCTCCTGGCACACCCTGCAGAAGGATGGATCCTCGGGGCTGGCAGCCAGACACCTCTCCAGCTCTAAGACCTCCCGTTCCAACTGCCCTATCGCCACATCCCTCCGTTGGCTGGCGCCCCGGGTGTAGTCATGGCAGAAGAGCCGGGTGCGCACCTTCCCCAGGTCCCACCACCGCCGCACCGAGGGAAAGGTACGCCGCTGCCCTCGCCAGGCCAGCCAGAACTCCTGGAAGGACTCCGCGAAGCCCACATCCTCCAACAAGCTGTTATTAAAATGCCAATAGGCCGGCCCTGGCCTCTCTGCGCAGAGAGAGACCATCACGGTGGCTAAGTGATGATCAGAGAATGGGGCCGGCCGGATGCTGGAGGAGTGGGCCTGTGAAAGATGGAAACATGATAAATAGATGCGGTCCAACCGGGAGTGGCACGACCGATGGGCCTCCACCCGGACAAAAGTGAACGTCGAGACGTCATCCGGGTGGTGGTTGTGCCAGACGTCCACCAGGGAGTGATGGTCGACTATCTCCTGGAGGACGTCCGTGGCGGCCGGGCACTGCTCAGTCCCCAAGCGGTCCTGCTCCTCGAGGGTCGTATTAAAGTCCCTGCCCAGGACCAGGCACTCGCGAGGATCCAAGGTGCCAAGGAAGGCGGACGTCTGCTGAAAGAAACACAGCCGCTCCGGGCCCAATGTTGATGAGATTGACCATGAGCCCCTCCATACGGACCCGGAGGTGCAGCAGGCAGCCTGGCACAGCCTCGGCGACCCCCAGCACCTCGGGCCGTAGGTTGGGGGAGAACAGGGTCGCCACTCCAGCCGTACGAACTGTAAGGTGGCTAAAGTAGACCCTGTCCCCCTGTTCCAGCTGCCAGCTATCTTCGGTGGCCGGATCCGTATGGGTCTCCTGCAGGAAAACCACAGAGTACCCCCCCTCCCGAAGGAAGCAGAGCACCTGGCACCTGCGGAGACCCATCCAACAGCCCCGGGTGTTTAACGTGGTGATGGTGAGACGTGCCATGAGGAGGGCTGGGGGGGATCCTCGCCTGCAGGGACGCTCGCGGTTCACAACGGGCCGCGCAACAATCTGTGACCTACCCCGTAGGTAAGTAGGGAGTCACGGAAGAGGTGGACCCGCTGCTAGGCCGCGGTGGCCTGCTTCCCGGTCCTTTTACCCTCCCCTATGAGGGCCCTCATGGCCCGGAGGATTTGATGGAAGTCCCCCCATCACTGCAGGGCAAGCTGCACCTTGTTACAGGAACCCCAGACATCCTCAAGGAACTCCCGCAGCTCCTCTTGCAGCGTATGCGGGGCTGGGGTCACTAGCCCCAGGCTTACCTCTTGAGGGACCACTGACACAGCCCCATGGCCCACCGAAACAGGCAGGCAAGGGGCAGACCCCCGACGTGGAGCCCGATGGGCTGGCACCACGCAGCCCCCCACAAACCCTGGCTTGATTGGGGGCGGCGGAGGGAAGGTAGCAGCTCCTAGTGAGTCGGGACTGGGAAATACAGAAGCCGCTCCCTGGGGGCTATCCTCTAAGAACGAGGAGATGACGGCCCCAGGGGCAGCAATGATATCACGGGAGGTGGAGGGGGCAGGGATAGGGTTGACATCAGGGGCAGGGCAGGCACCCAGAGTAGGAGTAAGGCAGGGGTTGGGTGCAGAGTCAGGGAGAAGGGCAAAGGCAGGATCCTGGGCCCCAGGAGCCAAGCCGTTGGGAAATGGCCCCTCTCGATCGGGCTCTGGGAGCTGGGGGCGGGGCAGGGGGCCCTCCGTGACGCTGGGCTCTGGCACCACGGCCGGCGTAATAGCCACAGCATCTTCAGTGGGGTCCCCACCCGGGAAGGAGGTCGATCGCCCCATGCCCTCGAGGGGCAGCCTGTGGGGCTCAGGTCCCAGCCACACAGCACCGGCGGTCACCTCACTGGGCTCGGCGGCCAACAGCACAGTGCCACCTGCGGCCGGGCAGATGGAGGAGCCCGGGGAACCCTCGGAGGCGTGAGCAGAAACAGCGGTTAGGGGAAAGGAGCATGGGGAAGGCGGGGCCGGGGTGAGGTCTCTCAGATCGAGGCCCGCTAGCAGAGGGTCATCCTCCCCCTGGGTGACTGGCGTCAGACCCAGGGCCTTGATCTCCTTGTAAATGAAGGGGAGCTCTCCTTCCGCCACCCCGGAGGTCTCCCTGCCAGTGCCGAAGCGATGCTTGTCCCGGGGCTCACGGGGGTTCTGGATGGTAACGGGGCAGGTGGGGTTCCATCGGGGGCCTTGGAGGGAAGGGGCTCCAACGGAGGGACGGTACTGCCCTCCCGTGCTGCCACGTTTTCCCCAGCCAGCACCAGGGGGTGGCACGCGCCTGCGGGCAAGGCAGAGGGCTCGTCATCAGTGCCCCCCTTTCTGGTCTTCTGGGGGGCTTCTGCATCGTTGGAAAGGAGTGGAGCTCGAGCCCTCCACTTGCCCCGCTTCCCCTGAACTAGGGCCCAGCTCTCCATGGCATCATCGGGGGGTCGGCTAACAGGGGTCGGGTCAGGGGGCAAGGACGATGGCTCAGGGACCGTGGGAGGTAGTGGTGGGGCGGAATGAGGGAGGGAAGATTCCCCCTGGAGCGGGCCCTCTCCCATGCTCTGCGATATCCCTGCCACACCCTCCTCTAGGGGCCCCGCCGGATTGTAGGCAGCAGAGGCGGGGCTCTCCCGCTCGTCTGGGCTATTGCCACTCGCTTCTCAACTGTGAGGGCTGCTCTCATCTTGGTATTCTTGCGCCTCAGGGCAGGGGAAAGCAAGTCACAAAGTTCTATGAAAGTGCCCTTAAGCATGCAAAAGTTTCGCAACCACTGGCAATCATCCCAGACCTGCAACACTATGCGGTCCCACCAGTCTGTGCTTGTTTCCCAAGCCCAGAATCGGCGTTCCACCGCATGAACCTGGCCCATTAGCACCATGATGCCCACATTGCCAGGGCCCCTGCTTTGAGAGAAGTCTGTGTCCGTGTCCTCATCACTCACATTACCACGCTGCCGTTGCCTACTTTCCTGGTATCGCTTTGCCAGGTTCCAGTGCTGCATATACTGTTGGATAATGCGCGTGGTGTTTAATGTGCTCCTAAATGTCAAAGTGATCTGAGCCAGCTCCATGCTTGCCGTGGTATGGCGTCTGCACAGAAAAAAGGCGCGGAACGATTGTCTGCCGTTGCCCTGACGGAGGGAGGGGCGACTGATGACATGGCTTACCAGGTTGGCTTACAGGGAATTAAAATCAACAAAGGGGGTGGCTTTGTGAGAAACTGAATGTCCCCCTCAAGGATAGAACTCAAAACCTCAAGGATAGAACTCAAAACTGGGTTTGGCAGGCCGTTGATTTCACAGAGGGAAGGAGGGAGGGAGGAGAAAATGAATACAAAACAAATCTGGTCTATTTCTTGTTTTGAGCCACTTCATCTACCTTTATACATCTTGCTGGCAGCAGACTGTGCAGTACGACTGCTAGCCGTCATCATCTCCTGGGTGCTCGGCAGAAGATGGTGTAGTATGACGACTAGCCATCTTCTTCTGCTGGCTGGAGGTTAAAAAACAGTGCACTGCCAGTAGGACTGAATTGCCACGAGACGAAACTTAAAAGGGAAATGACCTGGCTGAGTCACTCCCATGTTTGCCCAGGTGCCCGATTAAAAGAGCACCCAGGACTACGTCGATGATGGTTACCAGTCATACTGCACTGTCTGCTGCCAAAAGGCAATTAACTGCTGCTGTGTAGCAATGCAGTACCACGTCTGCCAGCACCCAGGAGACATACGGTGATGGTTTGCTGAGCGGGCTCCATGTTTGCCGTGGTATGGCGTCTGCACAGGTAACTCAAGAAAAAAGGCACAAAACGATTTTCTGCCCTTGCTTTCATGGAAGGAGGGAGGGAAGGGGGGCCTGACGATATGTACCCAGAACCACCCGCGACAATGTTTTAGCCCCATCAGGCACTGGGATTTCTACCCAGAATTCAGATAGGCGGCGGAGACTGCGGGAACTGTGGGATAGCCACCCACAGTGCAACGCTCCGGAAGTCGACGGTTGCCTCGGTACTGTGGACACACTCCGCCTACTACATGCACTTAGAGCACTTGTGTGGGGACACACACAATCAACGGTATAAAACCGCTTTCTACAAAACCGACTTCTATAAATTTGACCTAATTTCATAGTGTAGACATACCCAGAGACTGTGGGAATTCTCTCAGCAACCTCCATTGCTGGCTTATGATGAAAAGGGCTCAGTAGACTGTATCCCTGCCCTTAGACAGAGAAGGGCTAGGTGGAGGGTTGCAGTGAGCCTCTGAAGCTAGCATAAACCGCCTGGAAGTGCGGGACCCATGGGGACAAGGTCGGAGCTTTGCCACAACTGGTGTCAGCAGTCGGATACATGATTGTTCACAGCGTGGCGGAACAAAGAGGTTTTTTTAAAAAAGTGCACTAAGGTTTTTGGTGTTGGGTTTTTGTTTGTACCACAATGGAGGAGGTGGTGAGAGTGCTGGTGCAAGCCATGGCAGCCCAGCAGGAGGCAACCCAGGCTCAGGCGATGGCGCAACGGGAGTGCATGAGGCTACAGCAGGAAACCAACCAATTATTAATGAGCCAGGCGACCCAAGATCAAGCCCTCCTGCGTGAGGTAATGGACCAGCTGAAGATCCTCACCACCCAGGCCCGGGGGTTCTATGGGACCGAACCCTGAGGGCCACCAGTTGTCTGCCAAAGATGACAGCAGAGATGACGTAGAGGCATATCTCCTCTAATTTGAAAGGTCTGCTCAGCGTGAGGCATGGCCCCAGGAGCAGTGGACCAGCATTCTTGCCCCTTTTTTGTGAGGAGAGGCCCAGAAGGCCTACTTTGATCTGCCCATCGAGGATGCCGCTGACTATTCCCGGCTGAGGGCAGAAATCCTAGCATGATCAGGGGTGACGGCAGTGGTATGGGCCCAGAGGTTAAAGGAGTGGAAATACAGGGAGAATAAATCTCTGAGGTCCCAACTATTTGACCTCATACACCTCGTTTGGAAGTGGCTACGGCCCGAGGCATGCAGCCCAGAGGAGATTTTGGAGACTTTGGTAATGGACCATTACATGCGGGGACTGCCTCCAGATCTCCACAAATGGGTATGCCAGAATGATCCATCCACCTACAACGAAATGATCACATTGGTGGAAAGATGGATGACAGCCAGGGAATTGACCCAACTCCCCAAGGAAGGCCCCTCACGAAGCAGACACTCGACCCTGACCCTGGAGGGTTGGGCAGCTAAATCCCCAGGGAGTCCTAGGTGGAAGAAGAGGGGGACCGAAAACCAGCAGGGAACCCAGAAGGAAGGAAAAGGCCTGAGTGGGGGGGAACCTGGGACTAAACCTCCTAACCCACGTGATAAGAGAGTGACTAGAAGTTATTATAAGTGTTACGGGTGCGGGGAGTTGGGGCACATAGCGGCCCAGTGCCCCAGTGTCGTAGAGCCCATGCAGTGTAATCTCGGGGACAGGGCAGACCCATGCAGTGTACTCAATATTGTAGGGTTGCAGTTACCCCACATAAATATACAAGGCAGGTAAAGTTGAATGGGGTAGAAACCATGGCACTTGTAGACTCGGGGAGTGCTATCACCCTAATTTTGGGTAAATTAGTGAATAGTAGCCAATTAATGCAGGCTAAGCATATGGGGGTAACCTGTGTCCATGGGACTGTTAGTTACTTCCCCATCATACCAGTGAAAATTGAAATTCAGGGAAAGGTCACTGAGGTGAAAGCAGGGGTAGTCCCAAACCTCCCAGACCCCGTGCTCATAGGTAGAGATTTCCCTGTGTTTGGAAACTTGCTCCCACTGGAGGAATTGGAGGGAGAGGAGCTCCCTGAACTTCAGGAGGCTTCCGCAGCAGAATGTCACCTCCCATTTTTCGCAGAAATGTCCCAGGAGCTATTTCCTGTCCCGGGGAAAGGCAGGAAGACCAAGAGAGAAAGAAGGGCAGCCAAGGCCTTGGGTACACGAATCCTGATACAAGGACAGGGGCCACCTGTGTAGGCAGACGTACACGGGCAACCAAAGGGGAGGGCCCCGAGACAGAGGAGGGGTCAGAGGCCACTTCCAATCCCCAATCTCACGGAGCCAGCTGAGAGGGCAGAGACGGATCCCTCAGAGTTCGGACTGATAAGCCCCGGGAGAGAGACTTTTGGATGGGACCAGGTGGAAGATCCAAGGTACGAGAATGCCAGGAAGGAGGTGGCTGAGATAGATGGGGTACCTATAGAGGGAAAGGCCTGGGGCCCAGGGCCCTACTTTGTGATCAAGAGGAATCTCCTATACCGAGTCGTGCAAATGCAGGAGGAAAAGGTACACCAGTTCCTAGTACCCCGGAAACACCAGAAGACAATATTAAGCCTCACTCACAGTCACCTTTTTAGAGGGCACCTGGGACTGGAGAAAACCCAGGTGCAAATCTTATGCAGGTTCTTCTGGCCAGAGGTACATGAAGATGTCCGGCAGTACTGTGCCTCTTGTCCTGAATGCCAACTGCACAGTCCTCGTCCACATCTAAGGGCTCCTTTGGTATCCTTGCCAATCATCAAAGTTCCATTTGAATGGATTGCCATGGATCTTGTGGGGCCACTAGAGAAAACATTCCGAGGCCACCAGTATGTGCTTGTCATCCTAGACTATGCAACCTGGTACCCAGAAGCTGTCCCCTTAAGAAACACAACTTCCAAGAGCATTGCCAAAGAATTAGTGGCAATCTTTGCCCAGGTAGGGCTACCAAAAGAAATCCTCACAGACCAGGGAACACCATTCACGTCCAAGTTGATGAAGGACCTGTGTTCCCTGCTCCATGTCCAGACCCTGCGGACCTCGGTTTACCATCCAGAAACCGATGGTCTGGTGGAAAGATTTAACTGGACCCTCAAGACCATGATAAGAAAGGTGGTAAGCAAGGATGGGAAAGATTGGAACAACCTACTACTGTATCTCGTGTTCGCCATCCGTGAGGTTCCCCCAAGCTTCCACCGGATTCTCCCCCTTTGAGCTGTGTATGGACACAACCCCTGAGGCATCCTGGACATAGCCAAGGAAATTTGGGAGGAGGAACCCAGTGAGGGGAAGAACGTAATAGATCATGTGCTGTGGATGAGGGACCGGATAGCCCGGGTCACTCCTATAGTGAGGGAGCACCTAGAGAAGGCCCAAGAGTCCCAGAGAACCTATTACAACCATCAAGCCAAGGTTTGTCAGTTTCAACCCAGTGACCGAGTAATGGTACAAAATAGTCGAACCCGTAGGGGAAGTAAATTACAAGGTGCGACAACTGGGACGTCGAAAACTAGAGCAGAGGGTGTCTCCTTATCTAATGACAGCCCAGAAGAAAGAGGTAACCGAGATGATCGCCCAATATCAAGGCGTATTCTTGACACAGCCGGGTCGCACAACTGGGACATATCACCACATCATCACGAACCCTACTACTGTATTAATGTAGACACAAGAACTCATCAGCACAAACCCAACTAACCTCCCCGCTCACACACACACAATTCTCTGGGATGATCGCTTCACCCCTTCCCCCACCACATGGGTAACAGGAGGGAAGATTTCTGTTCAGCCACAGGCAAACAGCCCAGCAGGAACAGCCACCTCTGATTGTCCCCTTAATAAAATTCCCCTATTTCAACCAGGTGATCATGAATGATATCACTCTCTTGAGGATAATACAGAGAGATAAAGAATGGGTGTTGCTTGAATGCCAGCAAGCACTGGGACCATACGCTGCCATGCTTTGTTATGCAATGATTCCAGACTACATGCTGCTAGCCTGCCGCAGTAAAGTGTCCTACCATGGAGGACGGAATAAGGCTGCCCTCCCCAGAAACCTTTTGCAAAGGCTTTGGGAGTACATCCAGAAGAGCTTCACTGAGATGTCCCTGGAGGATTTCCCGCTCCATCCCCAGACACGTTAACAGACTTTTCCAGTAGCTGTACTGGCCGCGAATGCATCCCAAGTCTTCAGGGCTAATTAATCATTAAACACACTTGCTTTTAAACTGTGTATTATATTTACAAAAGTACACTCACCAGAAGTCCCTTCTCCGCCTTCTAGGTCCAGGAGCCCATCTTCGGTGGGTTGGGAGGGTACTAGATCCAGGGTGAGAAACAGTTCCTCTCTGTTGGGGAAAACGCTTTCTCCGCTTGCTTGCTGTGCTTCAACCTCCTCCTCCTCTTCCTCATCCCCAAAATCCGCAGTCCTGCTGTGTGAGAGTCCATGATGGTAGTTGTAGGGGCACCCCCTAGAATGGCATGCAGCTCATCACAGAAGCAGCATGTCTGGAGCTCTGACCTGGAGCGGTCATTTGCCTCTCTGGTTTTTTGGTAGGCTTGCTTGAGCTCCTTAAGTTTCATGCAGCACTGCTGCGAGTCCCTGTTATAGCCTCTGTCCTTCATGCCCTTGGAGATTTTTTCAAATATTTTGGCATTTCGTCTTTTGGAATGGAGTTCTGACAGCACAGATTCACCTTCCCATTCAGCGATTAGATCCAGTACCTCCCGTTCGGTCCATGCTGGAGCTTTTTTGTGATTCTGGGACTGCATGGTCACTCTGCTGATGAGCTCTGCATGGTCACCTGTGCTGATCAGCTCACCATGGTAGCCAAACAGGAAATGAAATTCAAAAGTTCACAGGGCTTTTCCTGTCTACCTGACCAATGCATCTGAGTTGAGAGTGCTGTCCAGAGCAGTCATAATGGAGCACTCTGGGATAGCTCCCAGAGGCCAATACCGTCGAATTGCGTCCACACTACTACAAATTTGACCTAGTGAGGTCGATTTCAGTGCTAATCCACTTGTTGGGGAGGAGTACAGAAAACAGTTTTTAGAGCCCTTAAAGTCAGAAAAAATGGCTTCATAGTGTGGACGCGTGCAGGGCTAAACCAATCTAACACTGCTAAATCCAACCTAAACTCATTGCGTAGACCAAGGCTAAATTAGCTCTTTTATTACACGGGTGGTGAACAAGATAAAGGATCAAACAGTATTTACAGCCCTTAAACAGAGCCCACGCAACCAGATGTAAACTAGATAATTTTTTCACTTCAAGGTCTAAAAGACACAGACAAGGTTTTCATCTCAAGGCCAAAACACTTGATCACGGCCTTGGATAGACCAAGAGACTACTTATACTTGCTCTTAGCCTACAGAGCCAAGATACCTATTCCCCCACCCTATCTCAGCCCACTAGGCCTCTGGAACCCATGTGCCCTGACTAGCGAGTGTCACCTACCTGAGGGCGAGTCCCTCCATCGGGGTATGCCAGGCACAGTTCCGCTGCCATCGATTCACACAGCAAGAACAACAACCATTCACTACTCCCGCCCAACAACAAGGAGACTGGGAATCCAACACCAGCCAGAAGTGATCATTTGTGCAAGCAATCCTATCATGCTGAGCATGTAGGCAGGGTGGGTGTGCCCAGGCAAATGAGATCAGCTCCTGAAGTCCTCTTCCACAGCTCATCACTAGATGTCAGGGAAGAGCTCATTCAGACTCTGCTTATGCTTGTTTTAAGGCAGGCGTTCTCAACCTTTTTCTTTCTGAGGCCCCGCCCAACACCCTATAAAAACTCCGCAGCCCTTTGTGCCATAACAACTGTTTTTCTGCATATAAAAGCCAGGGCCAGCATTGGAGGTAGCAAGCTGGGCAACTGCCTGGGGCCCCACGCCACAGAGGGCCCTATGTAGCTAAGTTGCTCAGGCTTCAGCTTCAGCCCAGGGTGGTGGGGCTCAGGGCCCTGGGCTTCAGCCCCAGGCAGTGGGGCTTTGGCTTTCTGCCCTGGGCCCCAGCAAGTCTAATGCTGGCCATGCTTGGGGGACACCCTGAAACCTGCTCATGGCCCTGTCCGAGTGGCAGGTGAGAGACAAACTCAGCAGAGCTGGCCCCTTCCTCAGGTCCCTCACTGCTTAATGGTTTGGTGTACAGGTGTTGCTGATATGTACAGCAAACTTCTCTGGCTCGAGTATGTTGGAAAATGGAACCCCCCAGAGAGGGAGACAATAAAGGGACCAAGGACAGAGCCTGGAGGGACCCAGAGGAAGAGCAGGGAGGATGAAGAGCCACTTAAGGGGGAAATGCAGGAGGAGAAATGTAGACTGGAACTCCACTCTGGGTGCACTAGCACCCCCTGCACGTTTGAGCAGAGATTTCTCATAACGGTGTCTGTTCAGGCAGCGCATGTGTTCTAGTCAGCCTCAGGCCCCATGCCGTTGTTCTTCAGTTCCCGCTCAGCCACCTTGGCCTGAGGCAGCTGTCCCCTGGAGATTATCTCAGCTGTGTCCTGGTTTCTTAGTATTCGAGAAATTAGTTAGGAAGTAACAGTAACTTTAGCTTCCTAGTTTAAAAAATAAAATGCATTTTAAAAAGTCTGATATCTTATATTTAGACAGATATTAGTTAGTACATAGGTGAGTTCTTGTTCATGGGGAGGTTATGCCCAGTTCTCCCGGTTTCAAACAGTGTATCTCGTGCCGGGGGGCAATCCTGGTAAATGACAGGCACTCCCACTGCATCTGTTGCCTTGGGGAATCGCACATTGCACAGAAGTGTAACTTCTGTCTGGGGCTGAAATCTAGAGCCAGAAAAAACAGGCAGATCAAACTATGCCTGGCTTCTGACCCAGGTCAAAGGAAGCCCCTTTATACACCAGTCTGAGCAAATCTGCTGCTTTCCTTTAGGGGATCTAAGAGGAATATGCAAGATTCATCTCATAAGTCCTCCAGTGACCGTGCCCCAAGTTCACTAGGTAGGGTGAAAAAAGCAGTTCTAGGATCTGGTCAAGAGAATTGCTGATTCCTTGCAGATCCCTCTCAAGGAGGTTAAAGAACCTCATTATATGCTGCTTGATGTCCTTCCCCATCTGATGGGTCCAAACTGCTTGTGGATAGCACAGACTCCAGAGCTACTTTGTGTATTCTTGGGATCTATATGCCTGCCTACAATAGAAAGTTTAGCACACCCCAGATGGCTCAGAGATCTTGTCCTGTTCAATTCCTGACCTCACAGGGACCACATGAGTTGTATCAAAAGAGACAGAAATTCCAGAGAAGGAAACCATCCACCTCTCAGCCTTCTACCTTCAAGCAGCAATTTTGACAGGCTGGCTGAAGGCTTGAATTACCATCCTCATCCTTACCAGCTGCACCAGTTCACCTGCCTTCCTCCCGTCAGTGACAGACTTTACCCCTTGGGAGTCGATTACTACAGACAGGTGGGGTTTTTGTAATTATCTCCATAGGGTACTCCATCTGCTTTACTACTCTTTTATTGACCAGCCTCACCTTCTTCATCCCTCTTAAGGGACCCCTCTCATGAGAGCTTGCTTCATCAAGAAATAGACTGTCCCCTAGGTGCACTAGCATAGCACCAATAGGGACATACATCTCAAAGACCCACAGTTACTGCACAGGGTGAGTGACCATTTCTTTTTGTGGGAAAAGAAGGGTTTTGATTATTTTTTCCTACTCCAAAAGTTTTGAGAAAATGTAGAAATAGGCTATGTTTTCTTGTGACACTTTCTCAATGAAAAATTCTGGTTTTCTATTTCAAAACAACTTTTTGTTTAAGAGTTAAGTTAATTATAGTAAAAAATAAATAAAAATTGTTCAGAATTAAAATGAAATATTTAGATTGACCCAACCAAAAAGTAGTTAGAAATATTGGTTTATGAAAATTTTTGAGGCTTTGGCTTTTTGTCTTGAGAACTTTTACAGGACAGGAAAACTGTTTGCTGCCCAGCTCCAGCCCTGGAAGCCAGCAGAGGAGCTGGAGTCACTTTTTGGGACATGCCAATAGCTCCCTCCGGTTCTAATGCAGACAGAAGACACTCCCTTTTCCTATGTACACACTGGTTTGTCCAGGCCTTGCTCCTCCCACATTCAGACCCCCTTCATCAGTCTTCTGCCCCAAAGGATTTTCCAGGAGAACCATAAAAAAGAAGAGCTCAGTTTAAAGCCCAGATTTTTCCTGACTGAAGCATCACTCAGTGGTGACCACCCTAGGGAGCCATGACTTCACTTCTTATTAACATGGATGGAGGGAGCCAGAGACCAAAGTCTCCTGTTCTGCAGGGCTGGGACATGCGAGTTACAGAACAAGAACAAACAAATCCAAAATATAATTCTCCAAAAGCCAAAAAGGATAAAAGCCTCACACCAATTGTCAAAAGTTGTCCATGCAAACATTCATTGGATGACCCCAGAGTTGTACCTTGCAAAGGGAATTAAAAACCAAGGGTCTTTAGTCATACAAATAAAGAGAAAACAAGGAAAGAAGTGGTACCATTAAGCACTGAGGATGGGGTGGAGATTAAAGATAATCTAGGCATGGCCCAACACCTAAATAAATACTTTCCCTTGGTTTATAATAAGGAGCTAAGAGGTAGTGGCAGGGTGGCTAATGGAAATGAGGATTATGGAGGTAGAAATGACCACATCCGAAGTGGAAGTCAAACCCAAATATTCAATGGGACTAAAGCGGGGGGTCCAGATAATCTCCATCCAAGAATATTCAAGGGACTGGCACATGAAATTGCAAGCCCAAAAGGATTTTTAATGAATCTGTAAACTCAAGGGTCATACCCTATGACTGGAGAATTGATAATATAGTTCCTATTTTTAAGAAATGGGGGGAAAGTGATCTGGGAAACTGCAGGCCTGTTAGTTGGACCTCAGTTGTATGTAAGGTCTTTGAACAAATTTTGAAAGAGAAAGTAGGTAAGAGGTAAATAATAACTGGGATAAAATACAAGGTTTTGCAAAAAGTAGATCGCACCAAACCAACCTGATATTCTTCTTCTTTGAGAAGATAACTGATTTTTAAACAAAGGAAATGCAGTAGCATTAATCTGCCTGGATTTCAGTAAGGCATTTGATACAGTTCCACCTGGGAAACTATTAGTTAAATTGAAGAAGATGGGGATTAATAGGAGAATTGAAACATGGATAAGGAACTGGTTAAAGGGAAGACTACAATGAGGCATACTGAAAGGTGAACTGTCAGGCTGGAGGGAGGTTATTAGTGGAGTTCCTCAAGGATTGATCTGGGGACCAATCTTATTTAATATTTTTATTATGGATCTTGGCACAAAAAGTGAGTGTGGTAATAAATTTGGTGGATGACACAAAGTTAGGAGTTATTGCCAAATACAGAGGAGGACCGGAATATCACACAAGAAGATACGAATGACCTTGTAAATTGGAGTAATAGAAATGGAATGAAATTTAACAGTGCAAAGTGCAAGGTCATGCATTTAGCGACTGACAACAAGAATTTCTGTTGTAAGCTTATCAGTTGGGAGGAACAGACGAGGAGAAAGACCTGGGTTTATTGGTTGATCAAAGGATGACTATGAGCAGCCAATTTGATGCAGAAGTGAAAAAGGCTAATGCAGACGTAGAATGTATCTGGAAAGATATTTCCAGTAGAGGCAGGGAAGTGTTAGTACCATTATATAAGGCACTGGTGAGACCTCATCTAGAATACTGTGTGCAATTCTGGTCACCCATGTGTAAGAAAGATTAATTCAAAATGGAACAGGTGCAGAGAAGGGCTACTAGGATGATCCGAGGAATGGAAAACCTACCTTACGAGAGGAGACTCAAAAAGCATGGCTTGTTTAGCCTAGCCAAAAGAAGGCTGAGGGGAGATACGATTGCTCTCTATAAATCCATCAGAAGAATAAATACCAGGGAGGGAGAGCAATTAAGTGCCAATGTTGACACAAGAACAAATGGATATAAACTGGTCACCCACAAGTTTAGACTTGAAATGAGATGAAGCTTTCTAAGCATCAGAGGAGTGAAGTTCTGGAACAGCTTTCCAAGGAGAGCAGAGGGGACAAAACCCTAACTTGGCTCAAGACTGAATTTGATAAGTTTATGGAGGGGAAATGGCATATGGCCCATCCACGACTGCTTTTAACAAATATCGCCAATGGTGGGAGATGGAACACTAGATGGGGAGGACTCTGAGTTATTACAGAGAATTCGTTCCCAGGTGTCTGGCTGATGGGTCTTCCTGAAATGCTCAGGGTTCAATTGACTGCCATCTTTGGGGTTGGATTGGCAGAGACCCTGTAGGCTTTTCATTTTCCTCTCCAGCTTGGGGCACAGGTCACTTGCAGGTGTAAATGGTGGATTCTCTGTAACGTGAAGTCTTTAAATGAAGATTTGAGGACTTCAGAAACTCAGCCAGAGGTTAGGGGGTCTATTACAGGAGTGGGTGGGTGAGGTTCCATGGCCTGCGATGTG